ACCTTATAGCTTGATAAAAACTTTTTACCCTAAAAACACCTGAGGAATCGCTCTGTGAAATATCGGAAACTTATTACAAAACACTCGGTATACTCGCAGCTTGACTTTTGTGAATATTTCACGCCTAGACTCTTAGATTTTACGCAAAGATTTTTACGCAAAAGGTTTCCTGAAGGCAGGAAGCAGGGGGGATTTTTCTTTAGCTTTTATCACGCTCATTTGTGCAGTGTGGATCAATTCAGAAAACCAACTGCCAACAGTATCCAGAGCTTTACAAAAACAAAAAAAATGCAGACTGTTGCAAAACTGGCCGCTTGACAGCGAAGTTTTGATTACATTTTTGAAAATGCTCCTGTAGTCGTAAAATTTATAACAATATGAAACGCGCATAAATTTATCTTCCTTGTTGAAGGCTCTAAATGGGTGCAATTTTCTAGATTGGATACGTGGTCAATCTATGATGCGTTGCTTATTACAGGCTAGAAAATTTTGGGCAAGTTAACGTGAAGCTGCCGAAGAAGGTGAACGCTGCCGCATCTGAACAACTGATTTCTGCTTGCATACTGAAGACAGTGCAACAATTAATTTCGTGTCAAGTTTCATGGAAAGAAGCTCCAGAACCACGCATAACATATAAGATTTCCAGCTCTTTAATCTGACCAGTATCAAGTCGTCGCTTAAATAAACTATTAACTTTTTACATTGAAGTTTTCCGTTAAAACAAATACTGAACACTCATGTAAGGCCAGGCTATGAGCGAAAATTGAGAAGCTTTGTGATAAATTGTGCATACTTTAAATGCAACTAATGCGACAACAGTACGTGTTGATATGCAGATATTAATCTCATGGCTTTTGGATCTCAATTGAGACATTTAATCGACAAATTCTGAAGTTGCCTGGAATGATTACAGCGACGAATTTATAGTTCCATCAGCATGACCACTTTTTTGTACTTTCGTTTAAGGCATGTTTCATCTTTGTTGATTTAGGCAACAATAAGCTATAGGTATTTAGGAGAAAAACTACCAGCTCTAGTCTTTGCAGGAACATTTCAACCCTGTCTAATCTCAGTGTCTGGTTGATGGTAAAGCAAGCTGGACATTCGAAAACTTCTCATACTCTGGCTGCTGTTTTCTGACAAGAACAATTGCAGACCAATGAAAGTCAGTGAACTGTTTCCTCATAAATCCAATGTTAGATAAATGTCACAGCTAATGCCCAACTAATAACGGGGCTTTACACATCAGGGGCTAATTAAGTAAGTTCGACCTCATCCTGTCCTGGTGCAATTCCCCTTGGTGGCTTGTCTGCAGAATGCGACAGGTCAAGCACATGTTTGATCAGATTAACATGCAAAACGTCATACAGCATGTTGTTCGCTATCAACGTGTGTAGAGTCATAATCGTTTCGAATCGAATCGATGATATAATTATAATCAAGCTATAGCGGAACAATGAATCTATTATTGCCGACCCTAAAATGCATGAATGTGTTTGTTGGTAAATAACAGGAATAATTAACACGGTAACGGTCCAACTACACAATTCCGGGACGGCATGATTTATGATATGATATATGTCTGTTGTCCGGACATGCAAAAACGGATAATTGTTTCTCTGTCTGGGAGCCAGATGCTATTTCGTATTTAAGTAAATTATGATACTGTTCTGATATATTTTGCACAGTTGTTGGATCCGTTCCCAGAAGGGCAACAAAACATGCCCGAAATTAAAAACAAACAGCGTATATTAGGGGCTGGTTTTAATGGATGTTATCTGGGTCGAAATTTGCTGAAAGTCCTCACGTTGTTTCACTCCATTCAGCTATTTGCAATCACAGTCATTAAATTCCCCCAAACAACCATTAAATATCAATTTGGCACCTGCGAAAACTATGCGGAAGTGTTTTCAAAACTGCCGATTTAAACTTAATTATTAATATATCTAAACTCTTTTTAGCAACTAATTTCATTTTATTTTAGTTTTTATTAAGTTTAATTAGTTATACGTCCGGTATCGCACATAGAAAATGTTACTTTCGGAGGATTTTTTATCAAATTAAGTAAAAAATCTTCAAACAAGTGCGGAACTTAGTATTTGCTAGCTGGAATCAACTAATTTTTTTCAAGTTGATGCACCAATATTTTCTGGACATTTTCGAGCCATTTCTAAAACCTTGTAGCATTCATAGTTTTTGCGCAAAAAAATATTTATGTTTCCTTCCTATTTTACAATTTCAGACTTTAACTGCAAATGTCATAAAACGTGATGCTGTCTTATGATAATTTAATTATCAAGCGTTTGTTCATAAGTTAAATTTCGCTTATGAAAAATATTCTTTCAGAACTAAAATTCGCAAATTACGAAGGAAACAATTTTTTTTCTTGTGCAAAAATCAGTTTTGATGACACGAATGCAAAGCATATGATAATGCTAAGCTGGTGGAGTTTTTAGATGATGGAACTCAACGATACACTTTCTAGTACTTGGAGCGCTCATTATTGAGTTTAGTCGCCAAAAATTAATCAAAATAACTGACTCATCTATTAAGTTGCGGCTTTGCCCATAAATAATGCAACCAGAATGTTTAATATTCTGCTGTACAGAAGCAATTTGTTACAAAAAAGAGCGCTGCAATTTCCTGCGAATAAATAAAATTGGATTATATCTGAACGGCCGTAAAATTTTATATAGCTTATGAACAGACCCATATAGATCGAAAATAAACCATAAGCTAGGCAAAGTATGCAATAAAATTCCGTAATTTGAGCGCAAATTCCAGTAGGTATCAAAATAGTATTATCATGCTTATATTGTCTGCTGAAAATGGATATTTCAGAAGGGCTGGATCTAGTTTTAATCCAATTTCATTTAAATATAATCGATCGTTGGATGAATGTCTCCATTATTATTTGGTTTGTTCTTTCAACTGCTCGTCCGCGGTCAATATATATTTTTTACATCCTTATTATCTTTGAATGATTTCTTATAGAACTAGTTTTACATGAGCTCTCTGAAATTGCACTTGTGACATTCAAGAAAAAGAAAACGTCGTAAAGTCATGCATTGAGCACATCGATCTCTCGACTAGAATTCACTTTCAATTTTAAATTTTGTTGATGTTTTACACTAGCTTCAACGATTTTCTTTCTCTTTTGGAATAACTTATTGCAATTTATTAATATTGTGCCGGAATGTTAATGTACTAATCTACCTCTTAGTTCAAAAAGGATCATCATTTTCGCGTTTTTTGCCCGACAAAAATATTACTTCTCTTATAGTTTGCACAACACACTTGCTTTGTGTTCAAATGATCCTAAATGGTACACCAAAGCATATGATAAAGTTGTCAGCAGGAGCAAAGCATTCTCTCCATCAAGAGAAATCGAAAAGTCGGAAAATATTTTAATACCTCATTGAATATGCTCTTTTTGCAATTGAGCCCGACTTTATAAATATTTTCGCGTAATTTAAATAATAAAAGCGTATTCTCTGTTTTTTCTTTGCAGGCCGTTCACGAATTCTCTGGAGTCCGTCTTCCCCTTCAGCCATACACTGGAAGCCATGCCGTTTTTATGTATTCCACAGCTTCGGACGGTAACGTCACGTTGCAGCTCAAAGAGCCCGATGATCTCGACAGGTAAGTGGTGGTTTTATGATTTTATCATGACTCCTCTTAAATTTGCCAGAAAAGTTTAATGGAAGTTTGGATTTTAACGTGCCACGTTTCGGTTTATGGCCTGAGAGTGTCTAATTACAACCATTTGCCAGAAGAGTAATATATTTAACATGGCAAAAAGTTTCTGAAGCATGTCGCTAAAATTAACAATAATCAGCTCACATGCAGGGTGACTCAAAATAAGTATTGGTTGATATTAGTAAAGCAAAATAATGGATGGATCGGGCGATGTTGCTGGTCAACAATTACAAAACTGCCTTAATATTACGTTGTATGTAATATAAAGTTAAGGCGATTAATGTTAATTAGATCACGGAATCAACTAAATAACGAAAGTGCTAAAGTGAGGTTTTACGGTTTTATTATTAGTGATTAGAGCGGAATTTGTCTGGAAACATCCCTATCTGTTTCGTTTTATTTGATCCAGACGCCTTGGTTTTATATCCGATTTAGCAGATGGAGCCGTCAAAATAATATGATCAATTCTCGCTGTAACTCTTCGCTTGACTTTCTGGTCCGGTTAATCGATTTTTCTCAGTCAATATGGTTTTGCTGTCAGCTATTATTTCGGATGTTTATTATTCAGGAATAGCCTGGCGGTCATGCTGGCACGATTACAAGAAGACTCTTCGTTTTCCATCTACACCCAGGACACGGATATTCTGTCGGATGGAGGTATCGACGTTCTGCTCGGTCCGGGCAGCTCTGGAGAAAATTCCGGTAAGTACCATTTGAAAATGCCAATTTACATGCGAGAAGGTCAGTAGATGGATTTTAAATCCAGAAGTTCTTTGCAGCAAGTCAAAATGTCGCTTATCTCGGTTTTGTAAGCCACTTTTTGAATACTGGCTGATTTCTGCATCAGAAAGTAACCCTTAACGGCGCATTGTATCGCCTTATAATAAAAAAATCAAATATTAGGAAGGTTATTATGTCTGGAACTATGATAAAAGCAATCCAAATGGGAAATGCATTGTCGATGTACTAAAAGCAGACAGTTTGAACAGCGGGATTTTGACTAAAATATTCGACTAGTCGTAAACTGCTTCTTTTGTATTCGACATAATCAATTTCTACTCAGGTTTAGGCAGTAGTAAGTAGCTGCACACTCCAGTTCTGATCAATGAAAGGCAGCAAATTTGTCAACTCCTTTTAAGGCTTTACTCCATTGAGATCAATAAATTCTTTTGTTATTGCTGGTCTGCAAAGCAGTGGGAAACTTTAAAAGCTTCAATAGACCCTTAACGGTTCATATATTTTATCAAAGTTTTTTGTTTCTCGTTGAAAAACTCTCGTTTTTATGTGATTTGTGCCCACTATTTCGTGTGATTTCAGAAACACGTTATTAAAAAGGGGAAAATTCCAATATCACCGGATCTGAACCCACTAGAGAGCTTGCAAAGGCTCCTTGTCACTATTGCTTCAATTGCATTAAAAACTTGCAAACTGAAAAAAATTTGTATAAAATGTGGTCCTAACCGTATTTGAAACTTTATATATTTATTTGCTTATATCCAGTCCCTATCTGCAGATCACGTGACTATAACACCATAATGTACTGGAATTCGTACCTTTCATACAGCAAATCAATACTTAGAAGAGATAATTATGAAATGCGTACTAGTTTCTTTCAAAATTGTTTATAGTCGTAGATAAGTTATATATTGTTGGAGCGGATTCATTTTTTTACAGACTTCTTGTTGGGTATTTCGCCTCAAAAATTTTTGTCTTTAAAAAAGACAGAATTTCCTCATTACAGACTTTTATTACAGATAATGCAGTATATGAAAATTCGATCTGATAATTCGTCTGTGCAAATTGTCAGTTATGTGAGTTTGACTTAATCTCATTGTTTAAATTAATAAAGGTAATGTTAATTAATAATTTTGGTGTATGTTTCTTTGGTCTACTTCAGATTTTAGCATAGGTAACCATGTATGACTTAAATTAAATGAACATGAAGCAACACAATTATTTTGATTTAGTAAAATTAGCGCGCTTTTTTTAATTTTACGTTTTTTTGTAGATTGTTCTTTTGTTAAAATTGTAGAATTATTCCATTGAATTTTATAGCAATTATCAAATGCATGTTGACAAATGTGTTATTTATGATATTCTCTGTTTTTTATGTGTGATTGGTGTTCTTTGAGTCTTTTGTGTAATGGTCTTGAGGTTTGTCCTATATAAAATGTATTGCATTCGCAAGGAATTTTATAAATTACATTTTTTGTATTTTTAATTATATCATGAGGTTTTGTTACTGAAATTTAACTTCTAATTGTATTTTCAGTTTTGAAGATAGTCGTAAAATTAAATTTTATACCCACTTGTTTAATTTGATATGAAAATCCTGGAATAAATGGAATGAAAATGATTTTGTTCTTTTTCATTGGTGAATTTAATTGTTGGTTCTTTATTATTCAGATAAGATAAAAATTAATGAAGTTTTTGTTAGCCATGACTGTAAATGGAGAATACGTCATCAATATAACGCTACTAAATTATTGGTTTAAATTTGTAATTATTAATGAAAGTTGATTCAAAATTTTCCATAAATAAATTACTGAAAAATGGGGATAGTTGTGACCCCATAGCCATTCCAAAATTTTGTTGATAAAAATTGTCATTGTATTGAAAGTCAGTTGACTTTACACATATTGTTAAAAGTTCAATAATGGTGTTATGTAATATAATGTGTCGCAGGATACCCTCTGGGTGATAGTTCTTGATTACTTTTTGAGTGATGACAAAATTTTTGAGGCGAAATGCCCAACAAGAAGTTTGAAAAAAATTGTTTATAGTCGTTTTGCAACGTTCGGCAATGTTTGCGCTACCTCCGTTGCATCGGCGTTCACTATACACCTTAGGTACGCCATTTTCACTTAATATAGATTCTTTACAACGATCGAGGAATTCAAATTTGCTATCACCTGCTTCTAGTTCT